TCAAATAGTCTTGAAGGGCTCGTTGAGAGCTTCGATTTGATATATTATGGATCCCTAACTCCAAACAGATTAAAAGTTATGGTCAAAATAGTGTTAACCCTTCTTGAACTTGAATTTCTTTCCTTTCCCTACGCGGACCGTGTCATAAACAATCAATGAAACTCTAATAAATCATAAAAACAAATCTAGAGTAATGAAAATAAATAAAAATAACTATCGAAAACAATTTTTTTTTTTCAAAAATTTCAAGAACGAAATAAGGATTACAAGAGTACAAAAATCAACTAGAAAAACCTCCCCGACAATGGCGCCAAAATTTGGTGTGCTATCGCAGGCAACCAAAAATAAAACCCATACTCCTAAAAATACATGTTGTAGTGCAAGTAAAGATCTTTTCCACGGAGAGTATCTAGCCTAGTTTTATGCATCGTGAACAAGGATGGAGGGAGTTTGAGTTTAACGAAAATAATTTTAAGAAAAACAACTAAAGAACAATTTAAATTAAAGTATCGAAATCAATCAAGAGAACAAACCTTGGTCTAAGTCAATATCCACCATCAGAATTTAATTTGCAACTGATCATCGATGCAAGTATATATCAATTCATTATCTAAATATTCACCATTGGAACTATCTTCCTATCTTTCCTTGGTCGCTATTAATTAGAAAACAAGCGATCTAATTAATATTAACTACTAAACAACCCAAGACAAGTAATAAAGGTTTAATCTAGTAGCAATATTAAGAATTAGAAAGATCGATGAAACTAAACAATACAAGCACAAACGAGTGCATTTAATTTAGTCGATCATTCTTCCTAAGACCTAATAATTTTTGACGCAACAAATCATTTAATCTTAGTTGCTTCACAAATTAGAGTGATCAAACAATTACGGATTTGATATCTAACCTAACAATAGATTGCAACGAATAATAAATTAGAAGACCTCCTAGTAATTAAACGAGACAATCATGAAAATTAGGCACAACAGGACATTCGATAATCAAATCATAAATTAAATAGTAAAAACAAATTAGATCACACAGTTTTATTAATTCTGAGGCTTTCGTTTCCTTCGACCAAGTATCAAGGTTTAGCCACACATGACCTTCATGAAAAATGGAAGGAAAAGTTGGAGAATAAGGGGTAGAACGGAATGTGTAGTCTGCTGATTTTTTTTTTTCCTTTCTCTACTTTACGCGTTTTTCTTCCTCTATCTCTAAAACCTCCTCAAGCCTCATATAACTAGGAAAGTAAAATCCTAATATAATTAGGAAAGTAAAGTTCTAATATAACTAGGAAATTAAAAATAAAATAAAGTCCACTGGAATTCTCGTGCACCAAATTTCAGAATATAAACAGCACGTGAACAGTGCACTAGCTGCAACTTCAAGCCAGATTTCGACCTTGATTCAGTCAATATCTCTCAAAACTCAAAACATGAAAGTTGTAGAGCGTTTTCTTAGAGTTCCATAGCATCTTGAATCATCTCAATCGGAGCTGAGATGAGGGAGTTATGCCCAGATAGCGGAGTAATGTCGAAACTGTTCAATTAGCCTCGTTTTGTATTTAATGTCTTCATTTGCATCCTAAATTAAAATATAAGAATAATGAGTACATTTAGGCTCAAAATAAGTATAAAATGCGAAATATTAAAAGAGAAAAATATGATAATTTGTATTCTCATCAATTTTTTAGGTCCAATTAAACAACATGAGAATTTAACCCAGCTTGACTCCAACTTTCAACCCAATTCAATTCAAAATTTTAGCCATAATTTGAATTTGCATTTCAATCAAGTAATGCAGCCCGAAATTAAACTTTAAACATGAACAGTCTTTTGGTTGAAGCGTTCGAGTGGAAATAAAATTTGAGAATTTATAAGCAATTGGCCTCTAAACTCCCCTTATGGGCCAAAGTTGCATCCCTATTAGTAATAAAATGGTAATTTTTTTTCAAATAAATTTTCTAATCGAACTTGCGGACAACATACATCATTGCCATTAATAATAAATCATACTCTCAAATAGAATCTAACATTAATTCAAATAACATTACTCTATAGTCTAATGGTAGAGAGAAGCTATCTAGATGAGATCCTCTTGATTGAAAGAAAGGGACATTCACATGGGAGTACAACTGCATCAAACACTAGTAATAACCATTAATTTCCGATCACTTTCCCAATTGAAAAACTAGCTAAAATAGGTTCATTTGTCTCCTCCATCAGTGTCCATGGACGCGCAGGTCTCATTTTCTTTCAACTAAGTATGTGCACAAATTAAACAGTGGGACATGAGATTTTTCAAATCTATCAAATGCCATTTTCAAATCTTTGTCATTTTAATTTGAATTGACCTTCCACCAATATAAGCCACAAAATAAATGGGGATTAAAATGTGCTAAATGCTCAATACATTTGGTTGGACATAATGGTTAATCTAATTTTCAAACACTTGAGATAATAGACGCAAGACTAATTTTATTTGGACTTAAAAATTTGACTTAATTTGTTGACATAATAATGTGATTTCAGTGAAAACATTAGATCAACACCAATTTTTAATGTTTGATGGGGTTTACAATCAATCAAAATGTCATAATGAATTAGATCAGGAAATTAGATCAATAAATTAAGTCTCAATAGAATTAATCTAGACGTAATCACAAAAATATATTATTAAGAGTAAACCACACATATGGTACTTCAAACTATAACTCTTCTGTTAATTACGTCCTTGAACCTTTTTTTTTTTTTGTGTCAATTAAGTTATTGAATTATTTAATTGTGTCAATTGAACTTTTATATCTACCTCTGTTAGATTTTTTAACGAAAAATGGCAAAGTTTGTTACTCATATGACACAAATGACTGGAGTAAATTATATATATGACTTTCAAATTATGACCCTTGTATCAATTAAGTCCTAAGCTACTAAACATTCCAATTGTGTCGATTGACCCCTTTTGTTTTTTGTGTCATATGGTCACGCGAATGACACACTTCTACAAAGGCAGACAAAAATGTTTAATTGATACAATTAGAGAGTTTAGTTGTTCAATTGATAAAAAAAATATTAGGGGTTTAATTGACACAAAACTTATAATTTAAGGACTATATGTATAGTTTATTCTATTATTAAAAATTGGTTTGGCTTGATGGAGAAAGTTGGAAAAAGAATTTTTTTTATTTTTTTATGAGATTGGTTAGAAGGAAATATAAAAAATTAAGACACAAAATTTCTTATATTTGATAGGTTTTCTTTTAAATAACCAACTCTTTTCCTAAAAAAAAAGGGAAAATTAATATACTTTCCCTTAAAGTGATTAAATATAATTTGAATTTTCAATTTTTTTTCGTCTTTTGTACAATTTTCAATTTGTTAATCATGTTGGTACTCAAAACCACGTCTTGTATTTTCATAAGTTATTTGTTCCATAAAATTTCTATAACTACAAATAAAAGAGCATAGCTTATAGGTTTTTAAAATAACATTGTTCTACTAGAAATTAGTTAAGTATGTTATTTTATTGAAAACGAATATATAATCTATTTAGGTAATCACTTAAATGCACTAACAAAAATTTACTAAACACAAATTAATTTTTTGAAAATTAGAAATAAAAATTCGAGTAATATTACTTACACCTAATTGTTAACATAATTATTTATAACCATTGGATGGACACTGGACCCCAATATTTATTATAATTTACAACTAATCTAATAATTTTGATGAATTTATAATAAAAAACAGGACGGATTCTAATAAATTCATCCAACGATCATCAATATCCCTCTTAAAATCATTCATATTACATCATGTCTTTGGATATGAGTTATTTGTAGGTAGGTCAATAAATTATATCAGTAAATTTAATTAAAATAATATTATTATAAAAAATACAGATGGACCCCAAGGCTAAAAGCATTAATCTTTTNAATATTACTTACACCTAATTGTTAACATAATTATTTATAACCATTGGATGGACACTGAACCCCAATATTTATTATAATTTACAACTAATCTAATAATTTTGATGAATTTATAATAAAAAACAGGACGGGTTCTAATAAATTCATCCAACGATCATCAATATCCCTCTTAAAATCATTCATATTACATCATGTCTTTGGATATGAGTTATTTCTAGGTAGGTCAATAAATTATATCAGTAAATTTGATTAAAATAATATTATTATAAAAAATACAGATCCCCAAGGCTAAAAGCATTAATCTTTTTTTTTTTTTCTAATTTTTGTCCATAACTTTTAAATATATTACATAGCTCCCTCAAAATGTATTAGTTACGAAAATTACAGTAAAAAACCTGCTTCTCAACCGTTACAATTCAAATAACCGTAAAACTCGGTCCTACTCTCTCATCTTCAGCAAAAGCACTCGCTTGCTACAGCTGTCAACATTGAGGACAACGGTGAAAATTCACCATTTAGCTAAGGTCAATTCAGTAAATTAACAAAGCACAACACATCCGTTGAATTGACATGATTGCCCTTGTTAGACAGATGTCAGCACGTTAGAGCGAGTTTGTTAAATAATACATACATCAGCGAANTAACCGTAAAACTCGGTCCTACTCTCTCATCTTCAGCAAAAGCACTCGCTTGCTACACCTGTCAACATTGAGGACAACGGTGAAAATTCACCATTTAGCTAAGGTCAATTTAGTAAATTAAAAAAGCACAACACATCAGTTGAATTGACATGATTGCCCTTGTTAGACAGATGTCAGCATGTTAGAGCGAGTTTGTTAAATAATACATACATCAGCGAATATGGTTCTCACAATAAACTCCATAAAGCCCCGCCATTTCTGTCTTTCCCGGAAACATTAAATGCTCTCTCTCTCCCCCTCCCTCTCTCACCAAACTGGAACGCACACTCAATATACAAGAAAGATATATATATATATATATTTGCATATATATGTGTGTATAAATACAAATATAATTCTGGACAGAAAAAAGTCTTCAGTTGTACAGAGAAAAAGAGAGCGCCATAAATGCAAAGCTCAACCACCACTGCCTGCGTACTAAGTAGTTGCTGGTATATTAAACCCCAACCACAATGCTAGCACAGAAGTCCTCTTTATCTCCACCTTATCTTCACATCTCCAAAAGGACGGTTTGAATCTTCCATTCACAATGTGGAACTCGGCGGAGAACTTGTCCGCACGGTCGGCGTCGTTCCGAGAGGACGGCGACGACGAGGAGGCGCTCCGGTGGGCCGCGTTGGAGAGACTGCCGACGTACAATCGGGTTCGGAGAGGAATTTTTAAGAACATTGTTGGAGATTCGATGGAAATTGACGTTGATAAGCTTGAATTGAAGGACAGAATAGTTGTATTAGATCGGTTGGTGAGTTCGGTGGATGATGATTGGGAAAAGTTCTTCGATCGCATGCGACGGAGGCTTGATAGGTAAATTTTGGATTTGTTTTGAGTTTTTATTTTATCAAGGATAATTAATGTTCCTGTTGCCATTTTTATTCATATTAATTTGGTTGCTTAGAAAGCTGAGGGGCAGAGGAAGGAAAGTGTCTTTTCTTGTGTTTGCATGTGTATGTCCGAGTGTGTTCTTTTTTTCTTTTTGCTTTTTGGTTCACTAATTAATCCTAAGAATGCTAAGCTCAGTGCAGTGCAGGTGCGAAGCCAATTTCATTGGATTTAAGGTTTATGATTTGTGCATTGCTTTTTAATATCTTTTTTTGAATGATTTGCAATCGTTTGGCTGCTAAGAAAGACGAGGAAAATGAAAAAGAAAGAGTAATATGAATGTGATATGTTATGTTGTACGTGTTTTCAGAAATTAGACAGCTCATGAAGTAAGCCTAACAGCTGTATTATGCTCAGTTCAGTGCATAATAAGCTCAGTGGAGCGGACTATCTTGTCTATTCGGAAGAAGAGACAACTAAACTTTGTTTTCGCTCTTGTTTTGATTGAAGATGACGCTAATTTTTGTGATTTTCCAATGAATTTTCGGAACATGTGTGACTTGATCATTAATCTAGTTGTTTGTTTTGTTAGAATTTGTTTGTTTGGGTTCTGAGAAAGCTGAGGGAGGAAGTGTGATTTAAGTATAGTGTTTTGTGTTTTTTGTGTTTTGTAAATTTGAGGGATCCTTTTACTTGAGTCTACCAGTTAAATTATACCTGCTCCATTTGCTGGAGCCTCTTTTCTTTTTTGTTGGAATTCAGGGCTGGATTGGTAGATTTGTTTTGGTGTGTTGTAGTCAATGTTGGTGCAATCTCATTCAAACACACAGGCTGCCATTCATTTATGCTTGAATTGTTTATTTCCATTCACGGGCTGATGGTTCAATTTTTATGGTTAGTATTTTTCTTCTCCTTCCCTGCTTGTGCTTTTCTCAGCTGAAAAATTCTTTTTCTTTTCGATTGTTTGCCATTGTAGAGTTGATTTGGAATTTCCAAAGATTGAAGTTAGATTTCAGCATTTGACTGTTGAAAGTTTTGTCCACGTCGGCAGTAGAGCATTGCCCACTATTCCCAATTTTATTTCTAACATGACTGAGGTACGCTTTAGACAATTTATAACCTTCATAAATTTGACCATTTCCTTTGAACTCAATTACTACTTACAAATGTCATACAGGCTTTGTTGAGGCAATTGAGGATATACCATGTCCAGAGAAGAAAGTTAACAATTTTAGATCATATTAGTGGGATAATTAGACCTTCCAGGTAAATATCTTGTCTTATCTTTCGTCTTTTCTTATGTGTGGTCTTCCTGTTGCATTTAATCTTCAAGTTAAACCTGACTGGTGAGTTTGGCCAAGCATTTGATAATGGGTGGTGTTACCTTTTAGGTTGACACTGCTGTNTTCCAGGTAAATATCTTGTCTTATCTTTCGTCTTTTCTTATGTGTGGTCTTCCTGTTACATTTAATCTTCAAGTTAAACCTGACTGGTGAGTTTGGCCAAGCATTTGATAATGGGTGGTGTTACCTTTTAGGTTGACACTGCTGTTGGGTCCTCCAAGCTCTGGAAAGACGACACTGCTGTTGGCCCTTGCTGGACGCCTTGGGTCTGATTTGCAGGTACTGAACATCTGATATTGTGATGTCATGCTAGTGGAAACTAGCTTCAAATATGTGCAATGATTCTCTTTTTGCTCATTATCCTCTGATATCTTGATATCTTTGAAGATGTCAGGGAAAATTACTTACAATGGACACAGTTTGAATGAGTTTGTTCCTCAACGGACTTCTGCTTATGTAAGTCAACAAGATTGTCATGTGGCAGAAATGACTGTAAGGGAAACTCTTGATTTCTCTGCACGTTGTCAGGGTGTTGGATATAAGTACGGTAAGCTCTGGCAGATTTTGTGTGTCTCTGAGTGTGTGTTTGGAGGTCAGCTAGATACTGAACCGTTTACCTTCGCAACAGACATGCTTTTGGAACTTTCAAGAAGAGAAAAGATTGCAGGGATAAAGCCTGATGAAGATCTTGATATATTCATGAAGGTACACGTGTTTGCTTTAAGTGCTTTCATTCTTTTTCTTCTTCCTTCTACTTAATTCATAATGCCTTTGAAGTTGATTCCTATTTTATCCTGTTATGTGCTATTTCTCTAGGCATTGGCTTTGGAGGGGATAGATGGGCGTATTGTGGTGGAGTACATTTTAAAGGTACTTTCCAGACATGACATAGTTCTGGTCTTCATTCCCTTCTTTTGAAAGTATTGATCACTGCTCTCTTAGAAGGACTGGCAAAGGTCTTGAGTTACAGTGCCAGCCCTACCCCTAGGCAAGTGAGGTGGCCGCCTAAGGCCCTCACTTGCCTAAGGCTCGCTCGTGTATGTTTTATAAAATGATATTAATAATTTTTTTAAAAAATAAAAAATTAAGATATTTAATAAAAAGATCTCTAAAGGTTTAAAAATATTTTTCTTTAAATCATAAATATATGTACGTTCAAAAAGACAAAAAAGATTGCACCATATTCTTGTACAAAAAATTATAAGATTCTACACTCTTCTTTTATCTGAATAACTCTGACCTATTTATACAGTTAGATTTTCTTGGACTATAATTTCTGAGTTAAGTTGCTTTTAATTTAATCAGTTACATAATGTGTTTGTTTCGCAAGTTGTTTTTAAACTTAAATATATATACTAAAAGATATAAATTTAAATATTTAAAAATAAAAATAAATAAATTATTCATCAAAAAATAATTTTAGGGCCCCATCTAAAATTTTTGTCTACGGCTTCAAGTATTCTTGGGCCGGCCTTGTTGAGTTATACAATCGTAGTTGCATGTCCTACCAAATTTCTTGCTTTCTGTCCATTTTCAGCATTGCTTTAGTAACTAAAAGTCAGTTAGAGACACTTAGAGGGCAACCACTCATCTCATGTCAATTATCCATGAAAAGCTCTAAGAATAATTGCCACATTGATGAAGTAGTTCTTAAGCATGTGATCGAACATGTATGCTAGGATGAATAACACCACTATGAAACAAAGGAACAGTATGAAGTCAATGCATCTCGAAGGAACTGAAGGTGGCAAAAATTGAGACATGATGGTAGAAGGGAAGTATTGAGACAAAACTAAAGAAGCATGATAACTTCTTTGTGTGGAGATATTAAAGTTAACAGCAATTAAATCAGATTGAGTTGTGCTACTCATATTTGAGAAAGCTCACATATAAGAAATATATGTGGGGTGAAGAGGACATGGTTGATAAAGGAAAAAAGCTATAAAATGAAATTGGTTACACTCCCCAACACTTTTCTAATATAACAGGTTAGTTGGCATAACTGATTCAACATTGTTGAGAAAATGAAAAAACCTATGCTCCTTATGTAATAATGTTATTGTTGAGAAGTCAGAATTTATTGAGCCATAGCCTTAAAGCTCTATAGTACTAAAATTTATCTGACAAAGATTTTAGGGTTGGATCTTTGTGCGGACACTCTGGTGGGAGATGAAATGCTGAAGGGAATCTCCGGTGGCCAAAAGAAACGACTCACCACGGGTACGTGCACTGCAGCTCTGTGTTTCTTGGATCATAGAAGGATAGCAATCCGTGTGTGTTGACCTGGCCAATGTGTTTGGCAGGTGAGTTATTGGTTGCTCCATCTAGAGTGCTGTTCATGGATGAAATATCAAATGGGCTTGATAGTTCAACTACTTATCAAATCATCAAGTATCTGAGGCATTCGACTCGTGCACTAGATGGGACAACAGTGATTTCTCTGCTTCAACCTCCTCCGGAGACGTACGAGTTGTTTGATGATATTATACTCTTGTGTGAGGGTCAGATTGTGTACCAGGGGTCTCGTGACGCTGCTCTTGATTTCTTTGCATTTATGGGCTTTCATTGTCCTGAGCGGAAGAATGCAGCTGATTTCCTTCAAGAGGTAAGTGGAGAGCTTCGGATGAGTATAACTATAGTCCTTTAGTATTGGACTTTATGCAAGTTCTATTACACAGGTTATTTCGAAGAAGGACCAAGAGCAGTATTGGGCTAATCCCGACTGCCCGTATCGCTACATACCAGCGGTAAAATTTGCTGAAGCTTTTCGTTCACATCGTACTGGGAAGAATTTGTCTGAAGACCTGGATGTTCCATATGATAAACGTTATAATCATCCAGCAGCCTTGTCAACTTCACAATATGGTGTGAAAAGAAGAGAACTTCTTAAAACCAACTTTGACTGGCAGTTGCTACTGATGAAACGGAATTTGTTTATCTATATATTTAAGTTCATCCAAGTAAGTTTACCATCCAGTAATTCTTAATACTATAATAGACAAACCAATGTTAAATTTTCAGATGATGAATAAGGTGTTTGCTGGTTACTACACATTCAGTCGTGATAAGCTGTTATCAGCTTTCGCAATTACAGTGTTTTTCAACAATCTTAAACTAAAATGTTCACGAAACCTTTTCTGATTCATGGGTATTTTCTAATCTTTTCAGCTCCTTTTGGTTGCTTTGATCACCATGAGTGTTTTTTTCCGGACAACACTGCATCATAATACATTAGATGATGGAGGCTTGTATCTTGGGGAACTGTATTTTTCAACAGTTATTGTTCTTTTCAATGGCTTTACGGAGGTTTCAATGCTGGTAGCCAAGCTTCGAGTGATTTACAAGCATAGGGACTTGCGCTTCTACCCATGTTGGGTTTATACACTTCCTTCATGGGCCTTGAGTATTCCAATTTCACTTATAGAGTCCGGTTCTTGGGTGGCAGTTACATACTATGTGGTTGGATTTGATCCCAATATTATTAGGTAAGTCTTGTTCTCACATGGATTTCTGTATGCATATTGATGGTTGACTTCAAAATGATTTTGCGACTCTAATTCTTTAATCTGCAGATTCTTTCGGCAGTTCCTGTTATTCTTCTTTCTGCATCAAATGTCTCTTGCTCTTTTTCGTCTGATGGGTTCCTTGGGCCGAAACATGGTAGTTGCAAATACCTTTGGAGCTTTTGCTATGTTGATTGTCATGGCTCTTGGGGGATATATCATTTCAAGAGGTAAGCTTAAACTTCTTTCATCGTGTTTGATATTTTTTTTCAAGAAAAATCTAGTTTCATCTGTTTGTTGACTCCTCCTACACTATGGCAGATAGTATCCCAAGCTGGTGGATCTGGGGTTTTTGGGTTTCTCCTTTGATGTATACTCAAGATGCAGCTGCTGTGAATGAATTTCTTGGGCATTCTTGGGATAAGGTAATATACTGAAATGATCAGTTTACATCTTGCTTCTAAGAAATTTACGAACTTCTCTCCTGTGGCATTAGCATAGGAGAAACATTTTGGGAAGTGCAAACATGTGCTGAAACGCTTGAGATAATTTTTTTTAAAATTTGTCTCAATGGAACTTTTAATTGATTTTTCTCTTCAATGACTGCATAGCTCCAAATTGTATGATTTAGACTTCATATTGCACGGTTTGCTTATGGCAGTGAACTACTAGGAAATGTAGGTCTTTATGCTGATTTAAGAGGCATATTTTAAGGTGTTGAGACTGAAAGTTACTGCCTGATATGTGCATGTGCAATCGAGGTTTGCTCTAGATTTTTTAAATGTTGCCCAAGTAAAGGGAAATTGCAAAGTAAAGACGATTCATCAAAATTCTGAGGGCCATCTGTAGTGCCATTCAGATATATCTAATCTTGATGCCTATTGGGCAGCAAGTATCAGTTCATGATGTGATCACATATACAGCAATATTGGCCTTGGAAACTTGTGGTTGGAAATCGTAAGATTCTAATTCCTTCCCCCACCCCAACACTAACATGCTGGGAAAATAAATTAAAAAGGAAACTCAAATCTTCTAAGAAAAACTAATGTGAAGATCATTTGCACTTTGATACTCACAATGTCAGAACATTTTAAGAGACAATCTAACCTAAAAATGCCCTCATGTCTGTCTTTGAGGTCGGTGATCTAGTCTGCATCAAGTCAGTGTCAGACATGAGGTTCATGTATACTGGACAACCTATGCACAGGACCAATGGAATTTTCTAGCCTAAGTGAATGTACTGTTTAAACATTCTTCTATCTAAATGAAATCTTATAATTCCTTTTTTATCCACTCATTTGTGCAGAGAGCTGGGAATAAGTACAATTTGCCGTTAGGCAAGGCATTACTAAAAGCACGCAGTTTGTTTCCACAGTGGTACTGGTATTGGATTGGAGTTGTTGCATTGCTCGGATATACTGTTCTGTTCAATATACTTTTCACATTTTTCCTAACGTACCTCAATCGTAAGCCATATCTTCCTTCAATATGATTTCGTTGACATTGTAGTTTTAATTTAGAAAAGGACGGAAACAATTTTTCTCCAAAAGGAATAAAATTTGACCACTGCGTCCTTTTCACCATATAGCTTTAGAGAAGCGTCAAGCTGTTGTTTCTGAGGAAGAGCTTCAAGACAGAAACAGAAGTAGGAAAGGTGAAACTGTTGTAATTCAGCTAAGAGATTTTTTGAAACACTCATTGTCATCAAAAAGTAAGCAGCACTCTCTCTCTCTCTCTCTCTCTCTCTCACTTGCATGCGTATGTAGGTGCACATGTGCAGGTGTCCTTCAGTCTTCTGCTAATTCAAATAATTTGAATCTATTTCTGTCTCTCTTCGTCTTTGATCATTGGCAGGAAAAAGTTTTAAGCAAAGAGGCATGGTTCTTCCATTTCAGCCACTTTCATTGTCTTTCAGCAATATTAATTACTATGTGGACATGCCTGTGGTGTGTATATTGCTCTTCATTCTTCGATAAATGTTTTATTTAATTGTATCAATATTTTTATTGTAAGATTATTGTTCAGGAATTGAAGCAGCAAGGTATAGTAGAAGACAGATTGCAGTTGTTGGTAAATATTACTGGAGCATTCAGGCCTGGTGTGCTTACTGCATTGGTTGGAGTTAGTGGGGCTGGAAAGACCACTCTCATGGATGTATTGGCTGGTAGAAAAACTGGTGGAGTCACAGAAGGGAGCATCCATATATCTGGTTATCCAAAACGACAGGAAACTTTTGCTAGAATATCTGGTTACTGCGAGCAGAATGATATTCATTCGCCTTGCTTGACTGTTCTTGAATCACTTTTGTTCTCTGCTTGGCTCCGGTTATCATCAGATGTTGACTTGGAAACACAGAAGGTAAATTTGTAAATGTCATGTTGTTGCTTACTTGCTTGTGTAGTTAAGCATCAGATGACTTACTTATATTTTCAGGCTTTTGTTGAGGAGATAATGGAACTTGTGGAGCTTACTCCATTAAAAGGGGCTTTGGTTGGTCTGCCTGGCGTTGATGGCTTGTCAACGGAGCAAAGAAAACGCTTGACAATTGCTGTTGAACTGGTTGCCAACCCTTCAATAGTATTTATGGATGAGCCCACATCAGGATTGGATGCAAGGGCTGCAGCCATTGTGATGAGGACTGTAAGGAATATAGTGAATACGGGGCGAACAATTGTGTGCACTATCCATCAACCAAGCATTGACATTTTTGAATCCTTTGATGAGGTCAATTTCTCCATGAGTTAATCCTTTTAATTTCTTGAAATGTATTGTTTACCTAGGCACCAGTCAAAGTTAAAATTTGTCCAATGTGTATGCAATATGCATGTTACACTGTTTTATGAAAAGTGGCATCTGTTCTAGCACGCGGTGGTATAACCTTTAGCTGTCCTTGGTTGAGAAGTCAGCTTTGTTAGATCCCTTGTGCGTAATTTAATGCATATAGCTACTACTGTATTTGTTCGAGCTGCAGATCAACTTCCATATCTATATGAAATTAAAGTGGATGCAGATCTGAGACGTCATTGACACACTTGAGTGACCAATTTTTTACAATGACCACAATTACAGTTATAGTTTATCATTCAAAAATCTGAAAGATCTCTTCTTTGTATATCGTATTCAATTGGAATATATGTAATACAAATAAAATCGATTCATTTTTTAGGGTAATTATCTTCGTCTACTATTATGTAATGGTTAATCCCTGAATTTTGTTTCTTGCATAACTGCATTGAAGATAACATGCAATTTACTCATGCTTGGATGTGTCAAACAAGTACTGATTGTCATGCTCAGCAATGAAACTAGGATGCTATGGAGGTGCATTTTTGGTATGCAGACTGATCAACTGTGGCAACATTATGTGCTGGGCAAAATACATAAAAAAGTCTTTTGATCTGGTTGTGTGAGTTGGAACATTATCCTGTTATCACATGTGCATCTATTTGCAAGCATACATGACATTGCTGTCATATAGCTGCTGTGTCTTGGATGCATATGTACTTGGCTAGTTAGCTGTACTAATTCTGCAATAACTGATGCTTTTGGTACCTTGGTTTGTCTTCAAATGTATGCTATTGCTGAGGGTCTAAGTTACATGAGATAGCTAATAATTTAAATTTCTATACTGTGGTTGGTTCTTAGGTATTTGATGAAAATTCTTTCCTGTGATATCATCCTCAACTCTTTTCTGGTCTCATGATTTTGCAGCTCTTATTCATGAAACGTGGCGGGGAGCTCATTTATGCTGGTCCACTTGGTCCCAAGTCTTGCAAACTCATCGAGTATTTTGAGGTTAGATTCCTCTTCTTTAAATGGATTCCAAAAGCATTCATTCTGTTAGCTCTGTATATGCTTGTTTTGTAGGCAGTTGATGGAGTGCCTAAGATCAGACCTGGATATAATCCTGCTACGTGGATGTTGGAGGTTACTTCACAATTGGAAGAAGTCCGTCTCGGCGTGAATTTTGCCGAAGTTTACCGAAGATCAAGATTGTTCCAGTAGGTGCATTTTTCACAGAATTCTGCTTGTTGATTTTGCTAATTCTCACAACTGTTGTTTCCTTAAACCTACTTGGGGTGTATTTTCCATTTCAGACATAATAGAGAGGTGGTTGAAAGACTAAGCAAACCAAGCAGTGAAGCGAAAGAGTTGAACTTTCCGACCAAGTATTCTCAGTCATTTTTTGGTCAGTTTCTAGCTTGTCTTTGGAAGCAAAACTTGTCTTATTGGCGAAACCCGCAATACACGGCAGTTCGCTTCTTCTATACTCTCATCATCTCACTGATGCTAGGAACAATATGTTGGAGATTTGGTTCTAAGAGGTTCCAATTCTATACTTGATAGATCTTAATTTTTCCGTCTTACATTAATCTTTATTTCAAAGCTTTCCCCTCGTGCTATCTTCGTGATGTTGAGTTGAATTGTATCACTGTTGTTTTAGACAAATGATTGAAGTTACTTCTAGGAAAATGAGGGAAAATGGAACAAGTTATGAGGTGTCCCGATATATTAACTTGAGTCTATGGGTAATGTGTCATTGTCTAGTGCAATGGCAAATCTTCAGGCTAATTACAGTAAACATTGTGGATTCAAAACTGAGGCCTACCACTTTGGGTAGATAGTTCAACTTCAACCCCCAGTGTCTCGGTTGAAAAGGATCAAATTGGGTAATGATACTTGTCTTTAGAGTATCGATACATGGATTAGTGTATCAATGATCTTGAATTTTTTATTCCATGAACCTCAAACTTTCTTGGTTGGATTTGTGGCTCTTTGTGTGTATAAAGAATGATCATGCTAGGCTAATTTTCGCATATATTAGTACTTGAATGTGCACCATTCGGTGGAGCAAGAAAAGAGCAAATTGGTCCTGTTGAAGAAGTTAAGGGAGGCCTTAGACTAAGGCTATGAGAAGAGACATGGTGATTAATGACCTAAAGTAGATGCGATGCCAGATAAAGCAGAATGACGAGTTATAACTTGTGCCCTGGTCTCATACAAGCAGAATACGGTTTTGGTATAAACTTCAGCTTGGGAAGCCTCTTTGTTTCCATTGAAACTTGAAACGAAGATCAAGATTTTAGAATTTAGTTTAATATGATTTTATTATCTAGGATTTACTGGGCTTATTTATTAAATTTAGGATTAAAATAGTCTTCTTGTATTTTATTTGGGGTAGCTGTTAGTTTGGGCGTTTTAGGGTTGAGATAGGCCGTATTTGTGATGAATTTTCCAGACCAAACTTTCATATTGAATATTGATTACAGTGTTACACTATTAAACCCCTAACTCCTTTCCCAATCGTGTAGGGACACCCAGCAAGATATATTCAATGCCATGGGATCCTTGTATGCAGCAGTGTTGTTCATTGGAGTTACAAATGGCACTGCTGTTCAGCCTGTTGTTTCTGTTGAAAGATTTGTTTCATATAGAGAGAGAGCTGCAGGAATGTATTCAGCTCTACCATTTGCATTTGCTCAGGTCTGCCTTCTGCTGTTCTTTTCGGTTACTTTTGTTTGCTCAAAACCCTCGAGATGCTGACTAATGCTCTTTTTTTTGTGTACAGGTTGCCATTGAGTTCCCTTACGTGCTTGGACAGACACTTATATACTGCACAATCTTCTATTCCATGGCCTCATTTGAGTGGAATGCTCTGAAATTTATTTGGTACCTATTTTTCATGTATTTCACTGTGCTATACTTCACCCTATATGGAATGATGACCACTGCTGTCACGCCCAATCACAATGTGGCTGCAATTATTGGTGCTCCTTTTTATATGCTTTGGAATCTCTTCAGTGGATTTATGATTCCTCACAAGGTAATCAACCAATACTATTCACTCATTTCATTCAGTTTCATTTCATATGCATTATGTAATGGCAGTAATAGTTTAGTGATGTACTGGTTCATAACACGGAAATTCCCCTTTGACCCACTCAACTGTTGCCACTGTCTCACATTGTCACTCAGCTATCATGTTTCTCACAATGCATTCATTTCAAACTATGGTCAGTTTTTTCACACTAACAAATTTTGGTTAGGGTGGACAAAAACATTTTTCACTTTGCCATCTAATTATCTGATTTGTTTCACTTCACTCCCATGTACATTTTTTGGCCAAAACATAACGGGTTTAGTTTAGGGCTAGTGTGAAATAAATTCAAGTAGTTCAGAGATTAATGTCAGAAACTCACTTGTTGAATGCCTGGATCATAATTGACAGAATCAAAGTGTACTCTTCCTTCGTAATATGTGCTACAGCATGTCACATATTTTCTATCGGCATCTTTTTCTCATTATCCATGTTAATTTTGATGGGGCATATGACCTACACAATTATTCAAAGCACCTTTCTATTCTTCCTGCTTTGCCACAGAGAATCCCTATATGGTGGAGATGGTATTACTGGGTGAATCCTATAGCGTGGACTCTCTATGGCCTTGTGGGTTCCCAGTATGGCGACACTGATAAACTTTTGAAGCTATCCGATGGAATCCATATGTTGCCCGTAAAGCTTTTAGTCAAGAATGTGTTTGGTTTCAGGCATGATTTCATCGGCATTGCTGGAGTTATGGTTGTCGGTTTTTGCGTGCTATTTGCTTTTATTTTCGCATTTGCAATAAAATCCTTCAATTTCCAAAAGAGGTGATAGGTATGGTGGAAACTTCCGATTATGTTGCTTAAGAGATGCATCCATAACAGGTATGTGATTACTGTATAGCAACTTTTAGTTGGTTCTTCCCAATTTTTTCTTTGACATGTGATGTAATAATAACATTTGATTAACAAATGTTGTATTAATTATTTTTGAGGAATCACTGTTTAATGCTGTAAAGTCACTCATGACTGCCATACTAGAATTTCTAGTGACAGAGTTCAACATTGTTCACTTATTCTATGTCCAACAATTTCTGCTTGCGCCAAAAAATTGATATTGGTTTTTGATATGCTGATCTTTTTCTTCAATGATATCTAATGTGATCTTGATAGTCTGGTTACCTATACATTTAAGTCGGTTGTTTAACAAACAAGCAACATGCTATTGTTTAGGAGTGCAACTTGTGTGGGCTAACCCAAGTTTAACCCCAAAAAAATAGGACTTGGGTTGAAGTTTTAAAATTTTGGGTTGGGCTTAGGTTCAAAAACTCTTACCCGAATTGAATTCGGGTAATACTCGGGTTGAGCCTTCGGGTTATCGGATTCGACCCAAACCTGACAAATATATATATATATATCAAGCATTAGTCACTAGGGTTTTGACATTCTACCTCTCATGTGCCTCTTTGCCTTCCCCATTCTCTGCCTCTCTCCATCTCTCAGCCTCTCTCTTACTCTCCCGGCTTGAAGAACACAACGAAGATCAGCCTTGATCTGCGCTGAAGCCTTGGTGGCTATAGCATCTCAAATCTTACACAAATTGAAGTAGTAAAAGAGTTTCGGTGTATAAATGTATCGATATAGTTATTTGGATTAATTGCACCAGAGGTCTTTAAAGTATGAAATTTGTTTCATTTTGGTACTTAATGTTTCAATTTCATCTAGATTTCTAATGATTTTTTATCATAAACATGCTACGTAATACCTAAATATGGATAAAAAATAATTTTGATAACTATTAAACAAAATTTGGATAGTTTGTGACAAAAAATATGTAATATGTATAGTTTTTGACAAAAATTTGAATAGCTTATGATCAAAATTGTGTAATTTGAATAGTTATTCAAGCAAAATTTGAGTAGAAATTTGGTCCAGAGTTATTCAAATTATTTTTTTATTCGTATTTAAGTATCATATAATAAGTTTATGATAAAAAATTGGCAGCAATCTGAACGCTGTTTGCTTGAGGGGCCAAATAGAAACATATTCAATTTTTTAGGGATTAAAATGATGTAATTGAAATATTATGAACCAAAATAAAACAAACTCTATATTTTGGGGACTTCCTAATTAACCCTAGTTATTTATAGTTGGACTCTTAATTTTTAACACGATTCATTGGCTTTGACATCAAAAGCAATGCGAATTATCGAATATTAGTTTAGTTTCGACGGGTGTTAATCTTAATTAGGTTGGTCTATTAAACCAGTTTAACAAATGAATTGTGTGTAAAATTGAGTTAGTTTAGCGCTACATAGATACCTCACAATCCGATTGAGACATGAAAGTTTTTAGCACCACATGTTGACCCAATATAACTATCAATCCGAAGTTAGCAAAATATGGGTTTGTGTTTGCCCCTCCNAATATATATATATATATCAAGCATTAGTCACTAGGGTTTTGACATTCTACCTCTCATGTGCCTCTTTGCCTTCCCCATTCTCTGCCTCTCTCCATCTCTCGGCCTCTCTCTTACTCTCCCGGCTTGAAGAACACAACGAAGATCAGCCTTGATCTGCGCTGAAGCCTTGGTGGCTATAGCATCTCAAATCTTACACAAATTGAAGTAGTAAAAGAGTTTCGGTGTATAAATGTATCGATATAGTTATTTGGATTAATTGCACCAGAGGTCTTTAAAGTATGAAATTTGTTTCATTTTGGTACTTAATGTTTCAATTTCATCTAGATTTCTAATGATTTTTTATCATAAACATGCTACGTAATACCTAAATATGGATAAAAAATAATTTTGATAACTATTAAACAAAATTTGGATAGTTTGTGACAAAAAATATGTAATATGTATAGTTTTTGACAAAAATTTGAATAGCTTATGATCAAAATTGTGTAATTTGAATATTTATTCAAGCAAAATTTGAGTAGAAATTTGGTTCAGAGTTATTCAAATTATTTTTTTTATTCGTATTTAAGTATCATATAATAAGTTTATGATAAAAAATTGGCAGCAATCTGAACGCAGTTTGCTTGAGGGGCCAAATAGAAACATATTCAATATTTTAGGGATTAAAATGATGTAATTAAAATATTATGAACCAAAATAAAACAAACTCTATATTTTGGGGACTTCCTAATTAACCCTAGTTATTTATAGTTGGACTCTTAATTTTTAACACGATTCATTGGCTTTGACATCAAAAGCAATGCGAATTATCGAATATTAGTTTAGTTTCGACGGGTGTTAATCTTAATTAGGTTGGTCTATTAAACCAGTTTAACAAATGAATTGTGTGTAAAATTGAGTTAGTTTAGCGCTACATAGATACCTCACAATCCGATTGAGACATGAAAGTTTTTAGCACCACATGTTGACCCAATATAACTATCAATCCGAAGTTAGCAAAATATGGGTTTGTGTTTGCCCCTCCAGCCTGTTGAATGTGTTGGACCAGACTAATTAAACACGGTGATTCAAACGTTCAATACGACATAATCCATTGTCGATCCTATGTCACACCCAAGGGTGTTGTTTAGTGTTGAGTCTGAGGGGATCAATTGGACACGAGTCTAAAAATTATAGGCATTGAGTTATAGTCTGTACTGATGAAAGAAGTGAACGACGTTGTAGGATTAATCGATGATAGTTCAAATGGTAACAAAAACGAGTTATAAACTTAGATGTTTTGAGTTTGAATCTTGACAACTTCTTAGGGTCAAGCCACGAGAGATTTATCCCTCATGAATATTCTAGTTCCGATGTGGATGACCTACCTTTGATTTGACCAGATAGAGAATTAGTCGAGTCGTGTGTAAGTTAGTCCGGATACCCTAACCTTTGAACTAAAAGATGAAGGATAAATTACACTCAAACCCTTGACATTTGGTTTTATTATACGGACACTCCCTCACGTTTCAACAATTACACTAAGACACCATGGTTAGACGAAATTAACTATCTTAATAAAAAGACTATTTTGCCCCTCTCTTTAACACAAATTCAACCTAAATCCCAAGTCTTATCCCTAACTCCAACTCTAATCTTTGTCGTCCTTTGCACCAGCAATCCCAACACCTTCTCTCTGACTCTCTCTCGGTGAAGAACCAATCCAAAGTCACCGGTCTTCTCTCTCTCTCTTTCTCTCTTTCTCTCTTTCTATCTCTATGTACACACACGCACACACAGAGGGAGAACCAGCCTAAAATTACAGAAGAACTGGCATAAATTGCTAGCCCCTCCCCCACCACTGCAGCATCCTTCAGTAGCCACTCCCATCCAAAACATTAACCCACCCAAGCAAAGAACATTGGGAGAGGGAGAGAGAGAATTAAATTTAAAAGATCCAAAGCTCAAAAAATTTGAGAAATTGAAAGGATAACAATAGTTTTAGGGGTTCAATTTTGACAATGGTGGTTGTTGGGTTGTGTTTGTGGTGTGGTTGAGAAAGTGGTTATGTGGTTATGGAGATAAAAATGGAGATGGAGGTGGTGGGGTTACTCCGCTACTAGGTAGTGGTAGTGCTTGTGAAGAGAGAAAGAGAGAGAGAGAGAGAGAGAAAGAGAGAGAGAGAGAGAGAGGAGATGGTGGTGGTCTTCGTGGTGTGGAGGTGGTGATGGGTGGTGGTTAACTGTGATGGTGTTAATGGTGCATTTGGGGCCAAATCTGGATTGAAAAATGGAATTTACATTAATATGTTGTATAATAAACAAAAAATTCTAGTATTTAACTGATTAATTTGATAGATTATGAAATTTAAATATTTAATTGGAAAAAAATTAGTTTATATATGAAATATAAAATAGAAAAATGATAAATGAGAGATGAGATAAAATTTTGGGGGTAAATATTTGAATTTTTAAACTTAATTTTAAAGGGTATTTTTGGTATTTCATAAATTATTATTGATGACATCAACTTTGACCGTGAACCTTTCTAACATCTATTAGTTGGAAGAAGTTTCGTGTAATTGTGTGGTTGTTATAAGTTTTAAATGTCTAAGGAGTTCCGTGTAATTGTGAATACATGAGGGGGTTTCCGTGTAATAAAATCAAATATCAGGGAATATAAGTATAATTTATCCAAAAAGAAAAGAAGAACATTGTAGCATCATGGAATGGACCAAATCAAAGTGAAATTAGACATGTGAGGAACTATGGCCAACCTTTCACTGCTCTATATACACAAAAGCAGTAGCCAAATGGAGCTTTTATAGGGTAAGTATACATCAAATAAGGCTTTTTTTTGGAACATACACATAAAGAGAGGTAGCCAAATGGAGTTCTTACCACATGTATCCGTTTCTACTTTAAGAATACAATTTAAAACACAAACGCAAACGCTCATCCAAAGAATGTGTGCTACACTTTCAAATAAATTTGATTTTTTTTTTCTCTAGAAAGACAAACTTTCTAACAAAAAAAAGAAAAAAAAATAGAATCGATCATTAAAATTTTATTTGAATGGAATCCCTCATTGAACTCTTAACCATTGGTGTATCGGGCCTTTTTGGAGCTAGTATGTGGACTTGGGTATGTTGACTTTTTGAATTCTCGTGTGAAGATCTGTTGAGCGTTTTACATTGATGTCAGGTGAGTAATTATATTTGTGTGATGAATTTGTGGTTCTTAATCAAAATAGAACCATTGTCATATCTCACAAAACAAAAGGTACTCATTAATACGAGATTTTCTTGATGCAATCGATACTAGATTGCTCGTTATGAATTAAAAATCGATTGTACGGTATGAAAATAATTTTTTCATAACGATACACAATATCCAATATTTAAGTTGGTTTTTCATTTTTCAATAGTCGTTTTAATTGGTAGGATGCTTGCTAATAATAATTGTTCGGGTAAAAATCTACACAATCACTAAAATGATTTGAGATGCGGCCCTAGTCTTTGAGTATCACTCAATCCATGAACTGTAAGGCAGAAAAAGGTTAGAGAGCTCCAATACCTAAGTCAGTATCGCGATCAATAACTGGAACAGACGAGTGTATAAACAAGAAAAAGAATATAGGTGTGTGTGTGAAGTATGAAGTCAAGGTGCTCATACTTGAGGCCCCATTTTTCTTGGGTTT